GTGTCTTAATTAGAAGTCAGTGACTACAGTTTTCTCCAGCTTCTGCTGGTAGTAATCCCTTCTAAATTTCTCTGCAGGGGATAGTCTTCTTGATGATGGTCTTTATATCTCTTAGAGGTGCTGAAGGAATCACAGCGTATCTCATTTTCTATTCCCTTATCCACTTTTACTTTTATTTCCTACTGATTCAGTTTCTCCGATTGTTATAGGTCTCTAGTGGTTTTCTGTTTACTTTTCAATCGGTTTTGATTAAGTTATAGTTTTTTTTTTTCCAGGATACTGGCTATTTCACTTACTTTTTCAAATTTTGGGGTATAAAATCTTACACTGTATTCCTTATTACTTTCTAAAGTTTTGCTGTGCTTTCAGTTTTGTTCCCCTTTCATTCCTACTATTTATTTGTACTTTAAAGAAAACCAATTTACTTATTTTAGAGAAAGAGTGTGCAGAGGGGAGTGAAGGGCCGGGCTGAGGGAGACGGGAGAATCTTTTTTTTTTTTTTAAAGATTTTATTTATTATTTGACAGACACACAGCAAGAGAGGGAACACAAGCAGGGGGAGTAGGAGAGGGAGAAGCAGGCTTCCCGCGGAGCAGGGAGCCCGATGTGGGGCTCGATCCCAGGACCCTGGGATCATGACCTGAGCCAAAGGCAGACGCTTAATGACTGAGCCACCCAGGTGCCCCGAGAGAGAGAATCTTGTGCAGACTCCACACTGATTAATGGAGCCCGAGGGGGGCTCAATCTCAGGACCCTGAGATCATGACCTGAGCCGAAACCAAGAGTCTGATGCTTAACTGACAGTGCTACCTAGGTGCCCCTGTTTATTTTGCATTTATGCCTTTTTTGTTTATCCATTTCATTTCTTTGCAAAGAGTCAACTTTTAGCAAGAATAGTATAAGATCTCCTGTACATCTTTTACCCAAATACACCAAATTTTTTCCCCAAATATGTCAATTTTTTAACATTTTGCCATGTTGGTTTTGTCATTCTCTCTCCCTCCCCCAGCACACACACACACACACACACACACACACACACTTGTTTCTGAACTATTTGAAATAAGTTGCATATATTCTGCCTTTTACCTCTTAGTACCTCAGTGTATTTTTCCTAAGAACAAGGATATTTTCTTAGTCACAGTTTAAGTATCCTATTTAGGAAGTTTAACATAACTATGGTACTTTAATCTACAGTCCATGTTCCAGTTTTTTCAACTGACCTAATAGTGTTCTTATAACATTTTTGTACCTTCCATATAAGATCACATAGCACTTAGATGTCACATGTCTTTATTCTCCTTTAATCTGGAGCAGTTCCTCAGTCTTTCCTTTATGACATACATATATTTAAAGAGTGCTCGCTCCCTCTCTTCTCTTGTAGTTGAACTGCTGTTATGTGAGAAACACTGCCATTATTCCTTCTGTTCCTTTTTAAAAATGTCTGAAATCCAACTCAGCTCAGAACATAGCATTAAAGACAAAATTTTTATTAATAGTAAAATTATGTATTTGATAATAATACAGTTTGATATTTCTTGGTGTCTTTATAAAGGATACTAGCTTTTATATCATCCAGAAAACTAAATGTGAAGCAGCTCTTTGAGATACCAATTATTGATTTTGGTTAGAAGTAATCTAATTTGAATTTGGTACTTTTAGTTCAAAAATGAAATGATTTTTCCTTGGAGTCAAAGATATTACTAGTGAAAACATTCAAGTCTAGTTACCAACTATACTACTTCTTAGATAATACAATTTGTAAACATGTAATTATCTATTTGTAAGGTAGCAACTATAATAAAGTACATAGTAGTTTGAAAGTACATATTTAATGTTACTCTGCTCTCCCAAATTGTTAGTTGTTATTAATGAAACAAAAATGCACTTGTACCCATTTTTGACTTGGTCTATTTTAAGTACTTTTGGCAAACAGTCCAGTAATTTTATGATGGGAGTTTTACTCTATATTTCCCAAAATAGCTTGGAATATATCTTCAGAAGTTGCAGTTATTTAGTGACTGTGGCATTTTCCTTTTCCCCTCTCTATAAAATACCCTAGAATTTCTTTCAGAAGAAGGAAAAACACTGGAGGTTGAAATTTTTCACTGCCTTTAGAATCTGTTAACTTTAGCTTCTCAGAATCTCTCCATAAGCTCTTTGAGCTCCTGAGTGCTTTTATTTATCATTCTAATTTCTCCTCCTTCTTTATTAAAAAAGTCTCTTCTTATAAATAATGATCTAGTTTTTTGTAGCGATTATTGTATTGTGGATTAGTGGTGTATCTGATGACCAACATCACCATTACTACTACTATTTATTGAAGCTTTACTATGTGTCAGTTACAAACCAGTGTTAAAATTTTACTGCTTTTTAAAATACTCATGCACGTACCTTTATTGAAATCTTTATTTCTCCGTACAGCTTCAAGTTACTGTCTCGTGTTATTTCATTTCACAGCACAGATCTAGTGGTAACATTCTCTCAGCTTTTGTTTATCTGGGAATGTCTTAGTTTCTATCCTACTTTTGAAGGACAGTTTTGCCAGATAAAGGATTCTTGGTTGACTTTTTTTTTCTTTTAGTAATTTGAATATATCTACCCACTGTCTTCTGGCCCCCAAAGATTCTAAAGATAAATCTGCTAATAATCTTTTTTAGGATCCCTTGAATGTGACGGTTCATGTTTGTCTTGTTACTTTCAAGATTCTCTCTGTATCTGATGTGTGGCTCTCTTGAATTCATCTTGTTTGGAGTTTGTTGAGCTTCTTAGATGTTTATATTGATGTCTTTCATCAAATTTATGAAGTTTTAAACTATTATTTCTTCATGTATTTTCTTGGCCCCTTTTCCTTTTCTTTCTGCAGCTCCCACAATATGTGTGTTGATTCTTTTTTTTTTTTTTTAAGATTTATTTATTGGGAGGGTGGGGGGCTGCAGTGCAGAGGGGCAGAGGGAGAGGGAGAGAGAATCCCAGGCAGACTCCATGCTGAGAGCAGAACCTGACACAGGGCTCAGTCTCATGACCTTGAGATCATAGAACCAAAATCAAGAGTCTGATGCTTAACCAACTAAAACACCCAGGCACCCCTATGTTGGTCCTCTTGATGGTGTCCCACGGGTCCTTTAAGCTGTTTGCTTTTCTTTAACTTTTTCTTTTTGTTCTTCAGACTCAATAATGTCTATTGTCTATTTTCAAGTTCACATATCTTTTTCTGCCTGCTCAAATCTGCTTTTGAATCTCTGTAGTGAATTTTTTGTTTCATTTATTGTGCTTTTCAGCTCCAGAATTTGTTTCTTTTTAGATTTTTTAAAAATTTATTTTTTTTGATTCAATATTTTTTATTATTATGTTAATCACCATACATTACATCATTAGTTTTTGATGTAGTGTTCCATGATTCATTATTTGCATCTCTTTATTAATACTTCATTCTGTTTGTACATTGTTTTCTTAACTTTCTCCTTAAGACAGTTTTATGGGGTTTTTTTTGGTTTTGTTATGTTTTTAAAGATTTTATTTATTTGACAATGAGAGACACAGCGAGAGAAGAAACACAAGCAGGGGGAGTGGGAGAGGGAGAAGCAGGCTTCCCGCAGAGCAGAGAGCCCGATGTGGGGCTTGATCCCAGGACCCTGGGATCATGACCTGAGCCAAAGGCAGACGCTTAACGACTGAGCCACCCAGGTGCCCAATTTTATGGTTTTTTTAAGCCTTGGTCTAATAGATCTGCCATGCCTTTTTTAGGTACAGTTTCTCTTGATTGTCTTTTTTTTCTTACAGTGGGAAAAGGAAAAAAAATGAATTTACTGTTTGTTTGTGTGCCTTGAGCTTTTTTGTTCAACATTGAACATGTGAATCTAATTATGTGGTAACTCTGGAAATCAGATTGTCCCCCTTCCGCAAGATTTGCTTTTTTGCCTTTTTTTTTTTCTTTAAATTGTTGTTAAGTTGTCTCTGTGCTCAGGATCTGCCTGAAGTGTAAATTTAGGTCTTCTCATGTCTTTTTTGAGTATTTCCTTGGGTATGAATAGTCACTTTCTAATTTTCCCCATGAATGTAATTGTTTTTGACTGTCCTAGTCTTTAATGTCTGGCACCCAAAATGGGAAAAAGTAAAAAATGATAGATAAAAAAGGATGCTGATCCTTTAAATAACCTGGACATCTCTTCCTTCTGTTGAGGAGGGACTTGCAACAGTAAGGGAAGGTATAACAATTATGGCTGTCCTCCTCTTTGTCTGCGCCTCTCTGATCAAAGTCAGCCATCAGTAATCAGAGCATAGATCACCGATATTTGGAGGACAGGGTCCTTTTTACCAACCCTGGCTCCTGTGAGTTGTGTGCGGCCTGCTCCGGGAACATGCTGTGCATAACTCCCTGCCATGAGGGATGGGTAGCTGCTACTGTACTAATGCTGAGATTGATCAAAATTAACCCCAGTTTACTGTGTGTCTTCCCTTGGGAGTTGCAAACCTTCTAACAGACTAAGGAGTTCCAACATAGTTCTTTTTTTTTTTTTAAGATTTTATTTATTTGACGAAGAGAGAGAGACAGCGAGAGAGGGAACACAAGTAGGGGGGAGTGGGAGAGGGAGAAGCAGGCTTCCCGCTGAGCAGGGAGCCCGATGTGGGGCTCGATCCCAGGACCCTGGGATCATGACCTGAGCTGAAGGCAGACCCTTAATGACTGAGCCACCCAGGCACCCCACAACATAGTTCTATCAGACAGATTCTGCCAGTGTAATTGTTGTCTAGGTGGGGAGAAAGTTTCCTTCTTACTTTGTCATCTTCCCAGAATCCTCTTTTTAATCCCATTTTAAAATTTCTGTATTGAGTGACTTTATGAAGTAGATTAAGTAGCAAGACCTCTATATTAATGGTGGGGGAGAATGCATTTACTGAAATATAATAGCTCTTATTCTCACTTCAGTTTGTATTTAAGAGCTACATTAGATTATTTGATACATGTATAGTAATCTTTGGCATTTAACTTTTGGCAGGTGGTTTTGGAATGTATGCTTAAAAAAGACCTCATTTACAATAAGGTCACTCCAACATTTCACCACTGGAAGATTGATGACAAGAAATTTGGCCTTACTTTTCAAAGTCCTGCTGATGCTAGGGCTTTTGATAGAGGTATTCGAAGAGCTATAGAAGATATTTCTCAAGGTAGGTTTTCTTGACTATTTTCTTAATTTGTTTATCATATATAGTAGAGTAGAGTGATTTTCAACAAGGCAGCTGTTGTGATGTATGTGATTAGCTTTGAAAGCTCACTGTAGGCAAAGGTAAAATAATGGGTTTTTTAATGTTTTATATTTGTCACATCATAATATATACCACTTATGTGTATTTTTTCAAACCCATCAATAGCAGCCTTCAGATAATGCAAATAAGTAGGAGCGTGAAGAGGGAAGGGTCAGAACTTTCAAAATCCTTGTGTGTGGTTATATCAGTCATATCCTTGTGTTTTGGTCATAAAAAAAAAGAAAATTTCTAATCAAATATAGTTGACCCTTGAACAACATGGGTTTGAACTATGCCAACCCACTATATGTGGATTCTTTTACAGTACAGTACCATAAATATATTTTCTCTTCCTTATGATTTGCTTGATATAATGTTTTCTTTTCTCTATTTTATTCTAAGAATATAGTATATAATACATATAACAAACAAGGTATGTGTTAACTGTTTATATTATTGGTAATGCTTCAGTCAACAGTGGACTATTAGTAGTAGTTAAATGTTTGGGGAATCAAAAGTTGTATGTGGATTTTCAACTTCATTGGGGCGGGGCAGGGGTTGGGGCCCCTAACCCCTGTATTGTTCAAGGTTCAACTGTATTTGGTTATTAGAAGTTTTCTCTTTTTCGTATGTAGACTCTATTTTTCCTATGGCAAACCTTTTCTTGAAATTCTTAACTCTTTACCTGATTTTATTACTGAGGATTGGTAGAGACCACAGCCCCATTTATGTCTTTGTATATTTTGCCTATCTGCTAAGATTATTAACTCTAAAGCTAGCAGGAAAGAAGAATATTTACATGTAAGACTGGCCTCTGCTTAATTAAGCAAAAAGAAATCACTTTAAAGCCCATTTCTTCCCCACAATGAGGTTATAATTAAGACTTGATTTGTTTTTCTAATTAAGAGGAAAATTGTCTCTATAAATAGAAATCACCTTCTATATAAAGTAACTGAATCAAAATATATTAGGCAGAATTGTGATTTGTATATTTTGAAGATAACATTTTAATAGGAAAATTAGAAGAAATGAATGAGCTGACCATAGGCAAGAACATGGAAATGCTTAGTACAAATATGTACTGATAGTGCATGAAACTGTGCTTAAATAATTTATTTAGCTATTTTAAAAGATTAGAGATTGATAAACAATCAATGATTTCCAGTTCAGAAAAATTTCCGTGGAATAGTAGCATTCATTTTATCTTTATTAAAAGAACCTGTAAGTTCTTTCTAGATCATTGTTCTCAATGTTGGCTACACATTTCAGTCGCCTGGGATACTTTGAAAAACAGAGTAACTCGTCCATACTCCACAGACTATTTGAATCTGTCTGCCTAGGGAGGGGAGCTGAGACATCCATTTTTTTTTTAAGTTCCTCCTATTTCAAATGTGATGAATTGTGAAATGATTATGAATTTAGAGGGGAAAAAGGTTCCTGAGATTCTCTAGTAGTGGTTGTGGTTCTCAAACCGGTGCAAGAAATAAAAAATACATGAAGCCCTATGCCTCATCCCATAGATTCTGACAATATTGGTTTGAGCATATACTGTGGTACCAGTATATTTTCTAAAAGTTCCCCAGTTGATTCTGATATTTAGCTAGTGTTCAAGAACCAGTACTTTAAAAAGACAATCATTCTCCATGCCTGCTGGAATTTTAAATTTATTTTTACTTTTTTTATTAAGTTTTTATCTTCATTCCAGTATAGTTAACATACAGTGTTATATTAGTTTCAGGTGTACGCTATAGTGATTCAACAATACTGTACATTACTCAGTGCTCATCATGATAAGTGTATTCTTAATCCCCTTTACATATTTCACCCATCCCCCAACCACCACCCCTCTGGTAACCATCAATCAGTTTGTTCTTTATAGTTAAGAGTCTAATTCTTGGTGTGTGTGTCTCTCTCTCTTTTTCCTTTGCTCATTTGTTTTGTTTCTTGAATTCCACATACAAATGAAATCATATAGTATCTGTCATTCTCTGACTGACTTTGCTTAGCATTATACTCTCTGGCTTCATCCATGTTGTTGCAAATGGCAAGATTGCATTCTTTATGGCTGAATAATATTCCATTTTGTATGTATACCACCTCTTTTTTATCCATTCATCTATCGATGGATGCTTGGGGTGCTTCCATAATTTGACTATTGTAAATAATGCTGCAATAAATACAGAGGTGCATGTATTCCTTTGAATTAGTGTTCTTGTATTTTTTTTGTGTAAATAGTGGTGTGATTACTGGATTGTAGGGTAATTCTATTTTTAAATTTTTGAGGAACTTCCATACTGTTTTCCACAGTGGCTGCAACAGTTTGCATTCCCTAAAGTGTTATTACTTTTAAGCCCATACTCATGTCTCCATAAAAGCATACTTCTTTCACTAGAATCAAATAGATTGGGTTTCACGTTTTAAAGAACAGTGTATATATGTGGAGGAGCCTATGAACTCCTTGCCAGGTAGAATAGACTATAGTACTAATCTTATTTTTGAACATTTTTAAAAACATACTGGTTAGTGTTATTACCAGCCACTGTATAGACTTTCAACAATCCCATTAAATTTCTCTTACTTAGTCTTCCATGACAATAAGAATAAACTATGCAACCCTTTCCGAAGGACAGATTTCTCCTCATCTCCATGCTAGTATATCTCTCAAGGGTAGCATAAACTCAGAATACTTTGCTAAGACATCCTTCCTTATTAATTTATTGAAACTAAAGGCACTCCTGAACACCATGAAAATGTACAGAGAGACACTGATACACAAAGATCAATAGCAGCAACTGGCTATTGGCTGTCAATAGGGGTTTAAGGCCTATTTGTTTTCTTTCTTACAAAAGTACCTAAAATCTTCGTTTGGGGTATTAAATACTGTTTTCTGGGTAAGAATATTTAGAAAATTGAATAAATCACATGTGGGTAAACACCAGGGGAGTTGTAATGTGTATACCCTGCCTAGCAGTTTGAGTATTTTAGAACAATCAGGGGTAGGGCTTACTAGAGATAGTACACTTTCACAGAAAACATTTCTTTAGTAAATAACTGGAAGTATACCCGTAGAAAAGGAAAATAATCACTTTATTCTCCTAACAAAGGGGCAGGTATGAGTGGCCAACATTGGACTTGTTGCCAGGCAGCCCAGAATGATCTCTGATCAGTTCTACAGGATTATAATGATTTAATCAATTATTCAATAATACTAAAACCTAAGACAAGAATTCTTTGCTTAATTAACATCTACCTGTTTTCCTAGGATGCCCAACATTTAAAAATGAAGCTGAAGGAACAGAAGATGACTTACAAGTAAGTAGTTTGCCTTGAAAGGAATTTCTGAACATAAAGGATAAGGAGGAAATCACTAACCTTAGTAAACAACTTATGTAAATTTCTAAGAAAATTTCTCAGATACTGTATTTGTCAAGAAATACAGAGAAACAGAAGCAATAGGATGTGTGGGCATGTATATAGGTATGCATGTGTTATAGAGAGTTTGTTTTTGGTTTCCTTAGGTTGGTTAGTTGGTGGTGGTGGTTGGTTTTTTTGGTTTGTTTTTAAAGGAATTGGTGAGTGATTGTGGGGACTGACAAGTCAGAAAGGCACAGAGTAGGTAGGCAGGCATGTATGGCAATTTTGACACACTTTGATATTTCAGTTTTGAGTTGGAAGGCAGTCTCATGGCAGACTTCCTTCCCTTTTGGGGGCCCCAGTCTTTAAGTCTTTTCAGAATGAGACCTGTCTGCTTTATGGAGGGTAATCTCCTTTACTTTGAATATACTGATTTAAATGTTAGTCACTTCTGAAAATGCCTCTACAACATTTAGACTGGTGTTTGACTGAATAGCTTGGCACTATAGCCTAGCCCAGTTGACAAATAAAATTAACCATCACATATAAGCAAGGTACATGTATAAAGAATTTACAGAAAGGGAATTGCAAATTGTTAATAAGCATATATGAACAATGGTAAGCAGCAGGTAGTGTAAATTAACATTTTTTAGTTACCAAATGAAGAAAGTTTAAAAATTGACACACACACCCCCCCCCAGGGCCCTCTGCTTCTCCCTGTTCTCTTTCTCTCTCTCAAATAAATAAATAAATAAATAAAATCTTTAAAAAATAAAAAAATTGACACTGCCCATACTGTCTCTGTCTGTAAGATTGACAGATTGATGCCGTGCTGGAGAAAATGTGGATTGGTAGGTTCTTTCTAGAAAGCAGTTTGGTAATATGTATTAAAAAGCCTTAAAAACAGAAACCTGAATGCCTGTTGATCTAGTGAACCAATTTCCAGTAATTTATACTAAGGAATAGAGATGCATAAAGTGTTTTTTGTTCGTTTATTTTTTCTTTTTCTTTTTCTTTTTTTTAAAGATTTAGTTATTTATTTATTTGAGAGAGAGAGAATGAGAGATAGAGAGCACGAGAGGGAAGAGGGTCAGAGGGAGAAGCAGACTCCCTGCTGAGCAGGGAGCCCGATGCGGGACTCGATCCCGGGACTCCAGGATCATGACCTGAGCCGAAGGCAGTCGCTTAACCAACTGAGCCACCCAGGCGCCCTCGTTTGTTTTTTCTTGCACAAAGATTTTTTATACACAGATTTTTGGGTGTGTGTTTTTAAAGTATTAATAATAAAAAATAAGCTATTTAAATATTAGGAAAACCTGAATGAATGAATTAATTAAAGTATGTTTTTATCATGCAACCATTAAACATTTTATTATTAATTTGCTTATACTGAGTAATAAAAATAAAAATTATATGGTGTTACCACTACTTCACTAAAATGTTAAATATTTTTGTTTATTACTTTTGGATTGTGGGATTCTGAGTTATATGACTTTCTTTTTAGAACTTTTCCATATTTTTCAGATGCAGTAAGTATTAATACTTCACAATAATATTAGAACATAGAAGAACCCAAATTTGTCTACCTAGTATTAATAATCAGTTATTCATATTACTGTAAAAATAGTTGAAACCTAAAGACATGGCAAAGTGTTTTATGTGCATTTATTTTTTTTTAAAGATTTTATTTATTTATTTGACAGAGACAGCAAGAGAAGGAACACAGCAGGGGGAGTGGGAGAGGGAGAAGCAGGCTTCCTGCTGAGCAGGGAGCCCGATGAAGGGCTCGATCCCAGGACCCTGGGATCACCACCTGAGCCGAAGGCAGACACTTAATGGCTGAGCCACCCAGGCGGCCCTTATGTGCATTTATAATCAGAAAATAAAAATGTTTTTATTTTGGAAAATTTGAGAAATATAGCAAATTTTAAAGAAAAAAAACATAACGTATGCTACCATCCGTGATAACCACCATACATATTTTTAAATATAGCCTTTGGGATTTTTTCTGTACACAAATGCGCATACACATGGGTTATTGTAATATTATACTATAGTCTTTTTTTTTCCACTCAAATGTATATATGTGTCCTTAAATACTTTTTCAAGTTTATGATTTCTAATGTTTTTATGTAATTTGTTTTTTTGTAGATGTATCTTAATTACCAATCCCCCTGTTGTACATTTAAGAGTCCTTTGTTGTGTTTAAATATATGAATCTTTTTATTTTATTTTTGATTATTTAAAAATACAGTGAGTTGCAGTTAATTAGATAAAAGAAATAATTAATAAAATGAAAATAATATTTTTTACTTAAGTCTTTAATGAAGTTACATTTTGTTCTGGTATCAGTCAAAATATGAGGCTGGAAATGGGGAAACATTTTCTGGATTACTCCCTGTGATGAAAGTAAATTTGGTTAAAATTCAGTTTCAAAAAGTAGAGTCTCACATACCAACACTGTCTGTTACATAACGGCTATTACTCATTTTAATATTCTTCTGATTCGGTTTCACCTCATTTCTTTGTATACCATTATGTAAAGGAAAAACTGCTATCGGACATAATTGTTTGCAATACTCTGTGCATATAACAGTCAATGGATTTTGTAAAAAACCATTGTTTCCATAATCATATTTGCTACTAGTACTGTATATGTCAAGGCTTTGGTATAGAGTAAAAAATGGGGAAGATATTAATGAGGAATAATAAATTTATTGCCGAAGCAGACGAAAGAGTAAAAAGTTAGGATGAGGACGCGGCTAGTGAAGAGAATTACTATGTAACAAAAAGCAAGAGTAGTTATTCTGTTAGCTCTTTGGGGTGGCTGCTTCATAGTAGGGTATCTTCAGTGCCCTCAGTCCAAAATGTTACACACACACACCCCTAAAAGAGTTATTTATATTTTAGCTTCATTAGAGTCTAAAGCACTTGCTTGGTTTTTTATTTTCATAATAAAATAGAAAATATGCAATGTCAGTAGAGACTGCAGTAGTAGGCTTCCTTTTATTTATTTATTTATTTATTTTTAAAGATTTTATTTATTTGAGAGAGAGAGACAGCGAGAGAGGGAACACAAGCAGGGGGAGTGGGAGAGGGAGAAGCAGGCCTTCTGCTGAGCAGGGAGCCCGATGCGGGGCTCGATCCCAGGACCCTGGGATCACGACCCAAGCCAAAGGCATATGCTTAATGGCTGAGCCACCCAGGCACCCCGTAGACTTCCATTTAAATGTAATTTTACTAAGAGCAATTTTTATATCAAGGTTGAATTCTTGGTTTTACATTCTGTAGTGTTTTTAAAATAGATTATTAAATTATATTCCTTTTGATAGAATCTAATTCTCCTCCCCCCTGAGTGTACATTATGCTTAGATGTTTCTTAACAAAGAGACTTAATGATAGAAGTGACAGAATGTGACTTCCAAGGGTAGATCATAAAAGACATTGCTACTTCTTTCTGGTTCTCTTGAGTTACCTGTACTACAAAATGACAACTGTCCTGGGTAGAGGACACTCAAGCAACCCAATGGAGATGTCTATGTGGTGAGGAACTGAAGTCTTGTGACGGTAACAGTGTTAGTGAGCCACCTGAGAAGCAGGTCATTTACTCCCAAACAAACCTTTAGATGTCTATGGCCGTAGTTGATGTTTTGATTGTAACTTCATTGGAGACTGTGGCCTAGAACCTATTAACAGGTAAGCTGTTATTGAATTCCTGACCTGCAGAAATTCTAAAATGTTAAGTGTTAATTGAAACCTCTAAGTTTGGGGGTAATTTGTTACTAATACAGATTTAGGTACCCATAAACATGGTGCTACCATAACAAATACTTTAAAATGTGGGATAGACTTTGAACTTGGACAGTAGATGGAAAGCTTAATATCAAGCCTTTGACAAGACTGCCAGTAAAGGCTTAAATGAAAATGAAGAAAACCATATTGGAAACTGGCAGAAAGGTTAGTAACACTGTCACTTGCAGTAATATGGGCCTTAGCTAATGAGCTAGGTGATCTAGCTAAGGCGATTTTCAAGCTAAAGTTTAAAACTGTTGCTTGGTTTCTTCTTTCTGCTTACGGTAAATAGGACAAGGAAGGGCTCCTAAACAAAATGGAGCCAGGACCCGCTGGTTTGAAAATTCTCATCCTCTTAGTATATCAAACTATGCTAAAATTAGGAAATGGCTTCCAGGCAAAGATCAAATCCAGGGCACTCTCAGAATAGCTTTGTCTAAAGATGAAGCCAGGTGTGTGATTTATAAAATCCTTTCTTAAGACCTCAAGACAGATCTAAGGTATGCCTCCAAGAACCTTTCAATCAAAGTGATAGGGCTTATTATCAGATTAGGGTGTCCCTTAGCAAAAATTTAAAGTAGAGAAGAGTTTATTTCAGATTTGTGACTGTGCTTTTTTGTCTTAATAGTGTGAACCCCAATAAGAATCACAAGAGACCCACAGTGTTTTCAAAAGAGTTATTTGGCAGAAGTATCACCACCTTGGACTGAAGAGTGACCCTTTAGATCCCCAAAATTCTGGTAGAAGGCAGGTTAAAACATTCTATACACATGTATGTAAACATGGGCTGCCTTTCATAAAATGGAAGGATGACTCAGAAATCAGAGACCCAATCTCCAAGGCCAGAGCCAAGAGCCATGGAGAATTATTCCTAGGTCCTAAGTTCTCTTCAAGCAACTTGTAAGATGTTTCTACCTTGATTTCAGAATTACTTTGGATCAGTGACTCCATTGTGCTTCCCATTTTCTTTTGTACATGATGGTTTTCCTCTGCCTATCCTATCCTTGTATTTTGGGTATGTGTAGGGCAGATAATTTGTCACTTTAGTGTCCAGGTGTTCACTTTGGGAGAAATACTCAGAGGATTGTACTTAAGGAACTATACCTGAGAAGTTTCATCTGTACATGGATCTATTTAGATCACAACATCCTCTATGTGAAGTTGTT